TTAAATTTTTACCTTATACACCCTGTAACTATTTTTAAGTGCACTTTTTTATATAGGTAAGTACGGTTTAATCGACCTATTTTTGACCCAAGAATACGTGGTATAATTAATCACCAATCTTTTTGAAACACCCTGTATAATATTAATAAAGGACAAAAGGATGAGTATTGCAGCTATGTTAAAAGAAATAAATTGGCTTTCAGTTCAGAATTATGTTCAGTACATGACTGATATTTATTTATAAAATAAAAATGACATAGTACCATTGCAGCAGACCTATTAGAAAAAATTCAGTATAATTTGCAATATCACAACTAGGTATAATACAGGCCAATCTGACTTTCATGTACGGCAAGTCATCACTAAAAGTTCCTAAAATACAATTTATATTAAAGGTTTGCAAAAATTTAATAGGTAGACTGTCTACAGAAATTAGAAAAGAAACAATAAATGTATTTAAAAGTAACCTCAAACAATACTTGATAAATAAACAAAACAGGTATACCTACTTTCTTGTGATAATACTCTTTAAACTTCCCTTAAATTATTGTTATTTTACCCCTCGTTTTACCCGTATTTATTATAAATATTTCTGTTTTTAGATCATGTATCTTATTTTAAAAAATTACTTGATGTTATATTAATACTGCCTACCATGTTTAAATTATTAATAGTTTTGTGACTATAGGTTATGTTATACCAACTTATAGCCACAAAACTATTTTTGTGTTACAGTGGATCCATAGAGATCAATATAATTTACAAAGGCCTTCTTTCAACATAAAAATAACTGATAACTTTATAATTAAAATGAAAAACACAACAAAATACCTCTGTATCATAATGGATTAATAAAGGGTTAATCACATTACGTCATTAACAACCAAAGATACAAGATTCGTTTTTAAATTTTATGAATTGAGGAAATTTATGACTAATTATTATTTACAATTCGCTGGTTAAATCTATTTTGCGATATGGTATGATGTGGACTATATGATATTGCACTTCAACTCCTCAATGTAATCCAAAATCGTATAATTAAAACCAGCATTATATAAAAGAGTATAATAAAGAAGTGTTTTGTATAAGAACATTATATTATCTGTCTTGCTGTACCTTTATTTATGGATTGAAATACACTACAAATTATTTGCTACAAATATCAAAAAAGCAAACTGTAACACCCTTTTCTTCACCCCTAAAAATAAAGAAAAGGGTTGGGGTGGCGCTAGGCTGTTTTTCGAACAGGCTCAGGCGCCAGTTTTGGTAAAGCAGTCTACTCTGCGGCCCTGGGGTGCACCTAGAGTACACCCTCAGCAGACTCAGTGGAGTCAAGGTACAAAAAAAAGAAAACAAATAAAAGGACCAGACCTTCACTGCTTACTTGACCTACACTGGGGTAATAAAGTAAAGGTAAAAATAAAATTTTGCACTGCACTTTTACCTGCTAATAACTAACCTCTGAAAACAGAAAAAGTAAAGGGGTATCTCAAAATTAAACTCAGGAATTGAAACCAAATATATATTTACAAAATAAAATAAATAAGCAACAAATAAAATAAAATAAATAAATAAATAATGGTAAATAAATAACGGTAAAATTAACTACGACTTAAACTATACTTATGAGAAAATAAAAATAATAATTTCCTTTAAAAAAAAATTAAACGGTGGGCAGTAACACCCTTAGCACAAATTCTTTCCTACTAAGGAAAACAACCGGTTTTAATAGTAAGACAAAAAAATCTACAACAGTAAAATTAAATGTGGTTTGAGCTATACTTACTAGAAAATAAAAAAAATTATAATTTTCTTTCTCGGTGATTAATATTAGAGATTTATGAACGGCGGTGGACTGTATCACTCTGCACTCATGAAAGGAAAACTGACTGTTGCACTTGTAGGAATAACGGTTAATATCCTTCCCACACTTATTACTTAACCAGGCATAATAGTTTCAAATAACAAATGGCTTTAAGCGGAATCTTTCGACCATCACAGCAACACAACAGTGACGGTTTTCTTTTTTATTTATTCGCTTTAAAGTTTCTCTTATGAAGATATCTGGTAGTCCATAGCTTCTACAAGAGAAAAACCCTTTCTCCAAACTGTTATAAAGACTATGGGCTGAAACAGCTCTGATTATCGACGCGGGGAAACAAGCGAATACCGCTATCACCCCCTGGTTAACGCGAAAATAGATGAAGGGTGCTAATGCCCCCGGATTTAAATCCAATTTGCTTTATTACCCTAACAGGTACTAAGAAAATTAAAAGTACAGGTCGAATTCCTTATGTAGACAATAGAAACGGAAATGAACGCTGCAGGGAGAATTATTAAAAGGAATTTTAAATAAAGTGGCTACCTTGATTAATTTCTCACAATCGTCTACGGTACTCAAAAACTAAATTACGAAAAATTGGTTACGACTAATATCAAGCACAATATCACTTAAACGGTCAAAAAGCGACGAAAACCAGCATGGAAGAGAGTCCTCTCATCGAAGACATCTGATTTTATCAAAAGTCGGACTTTTGCCAGAGTGGGGACGCTAGTTCCTACTCCTTCGTTATTAGTTGTTTTGCAAAAAAAAACGTTGATTGATCGGCATACTGATAAACCTACTAGAATTGAGATTTTAAAACATGATTTAATTTATTGTGATAAGTGATAATGAAAAGTTTTAAACTACGAGGACTCTTGTAAAGGTTTAAAAACAGTAATTCTATGAAAACATTAGTTACAGGGAGTCTCGCAAATGTTCATAGACGGAAATTAGTTTTAGAAATTAATTTAGTCACAAAACATTTTTAAATAATTTGACATTTAAGAGCAATTCATACATCACAGTTGATATCTTGATACTTTACAGGTACAGCCAAGCATTATTCTGATTTTTTCCAAAGAAAATGGCCATAATTATTCTATGGGGTTGCGACAGAGAGCCAGTAAATTTGGTATTTTTGTGGCTAGGGGCGAAATAGTAGTACGCTTAAGTTTGCACCACCATAAAAAAGTCATTTTTAAGAAATTGTTTATGTATTTTTCATAAATTGGCAGACTTGGCGACTAATTACGAATAAAAATAGCCTCCAAAGTGGCTATGGGGTTGCAAGTATGAAGGTCGCAACCCGCCTTAGAAATCTCACCTTTACTATCAACAGCTGTTGTTTGACAGGTCGTTGGAGAATGTGTGCAATTTATGGAATGTTAAGAATGTTAGGAATGTTAGACGTTAGAAATGATTGGAATTCCTAAAAATTGTCACATAAGAAATGCACAGGCGAATTTTAAGAAAATTGATATTAAAGTAGTTAGGATGAACGAAAAATTTTGAAAATCAATAGGGTTCTAAGTTAGAAGTGATTATTCAAGAAAATCAAAATTGCAAGTGAATCAGAACTTTCGTTTTGGAGTTATCGTGTCGGCATACATACCCACAGATGACCAGACGAAATATTTGTTTTGCATTTTCGGACTCAGAATTAAGGGAAACACGAAAAAAAGTTTTAAAAAATGGGGGTAAGAAAATGTTTTCGTTCTGCACGGATGCAATACTGATGCCCCATAGGAAGGGTTTGAGTAATAATACACAGATACAAAGTAGAATGAAGATATATAATGCGTGACATTCTAAATGATACTCTTCGCAGTTTAACAGACTCCCTTAATCCCTGGGGCTTTATCTTCTTATAGAAGTTTATTTATACTAAAAATTTCATGTTGATATCGCTTTTCGTATTTTATTTAGGATTGTTTTTTAATTTCAACCTATCTTAACCCCCTATTTTTAATATGTCTCCTTATAGAGCTTGATTTTTGCTTAAAATTTTCAAGTTGATATCACTTATCGTTTTTGACTTATCGTGCAGACAATAAATATGACATCGGACAGAAGGACAAAGTAAACACAGACTACTGTGTGATATGACAAGTGGAGGCACTTTAAGTCATATTTTGATTAATTTTAAGTTAATCAATTTATATTTAAAGATTGACGGAATGAAAATTTTTTTATATCATTTAAATCACGCTATTTTAAATAAAATGGCATCTATTATCACCAAAACTGACTAGCTCTAGTTTGACATATGTCGTAAAAGGATAATGCAAAAGTGCAGACACTTCTAGTACCGTCATTATATCTTTTTATTCTATATCTATGATTTGAAAGATTCGCAGGCCCCGCCCTACTTTGTGACGTCACTGCATGCCTAGGGCAAAATAAGATGATTTTAGTGATTTTAAGTAGGTCATTGTTCGTTTTATCGATCTGTTAACGTGTTGACATCTCTTCTTAGCTAGAGGCTTTAGAGGAAGCATCTCACTCCCGCGGGCACACTCAGAAAAACGAGCCAAAGAGATAATATTAGCCAGAGCGCAGTGGCATACCAAAAAATAGAGATTTATACGTATGAAAACAATAAAATTATTAAAATTTAATTTATATTTTTATGTTATATATTTTAAAATAATGTGATTTTATAAAATGTAACTGGGTGTTTACGGCACTAATGAACCAATGGAGAAACCGCCCCTGGTTGGCAATGTTTTGAGTTTGATGTTTGTGGAAAATGTATATATTAAGTTAACCTCTAAATATTTACATGAGTTGGATACATCAGATTTGTTTTTATTATTAAAGGTATAACGTGTTCCAACATCGACTGGTTTTTAACTTTTACAAAAATATGGTCAAGACAGTTTCCTTGAACCCTTGTTGGACTATTTATAATTGAACTATAACCAAATTCACTAAACACACTCCATATATGTAAAAATCTTACCAATATTACAGTTAAAGATAGAACTTCATGAACCATTTCTTCACCATTAACTTTATATAAATTTAAAATATTTTCAATGGTATCCAAACATTGAAACAAACTAAGAATTATAAACACTAAAAGTTTCTTTCCAAAAGCTGAGTTCAAATGTATATTGATTAAAAGAAAATGTTTATAAATCGTATATAACATCTTGATTCTACTTCTTACTTCAATATCTGTTTGATATGGATTTCTACACAATGTTTGGATTAATTCACAAAATATTTCGACTCTGTTTTTTAGAACTAAAGACATTTCTAATAAAAATCCAACTATAGCTGACAATTGTATCATTACTATTGTCAGATAACACGCAGCAAATACGTTTACTATATTTTTGTTATCCCAATTTCTAAAAGAAACAACTGTTATAAATAATATAAAATTTAATAACAATGCCAATGAAAATAAGAATTTTTCATTAGTTGAAGTATGTAATATAAAATTGTTTATATTTTTTTCTAAACTGTCAAGTAGTTTGTAAAGAATCTTCCACGATTTCCTTTGTTTTACTAAATCATACATATTAATTAATTGAAGAACTAAATGAATTGCTAAATCCAGTACTATGAAAATTAAAACATCTATATCAGATTCTATAAACATTTTTACGTAGAAATATATAATTAAACATAGGGCAAAGAGCAAAATTGTTGTTAAAATTAACTGGCATAAAACGTTCCCATTATGTGGATTACATGGGAACAATAGCATCAATGCACCAACAGTATACCAAGAGTTTAAAAGAAATTTGTCCCTAATTTTTTCCATTATATTTAATTTTGTTTTCAACTGAATTATATTTTGTATTGAGTTTGTTAGAGCTGATAATGTTCATCGCGTGCTCAGAAAAATGAATATTTAACGCAATTGTTTAAAAACCGAACTAAACATTGAATACGCATTAATTTTAAAACTTTCATTAAAAAATTATATACAAATATAATAAAAAATAAAATACAAAATAAAAGTGTATTAACAAAATGTTTTAGATCTAATAGTTTGACTGAAACATTCAACAGGTGTGTAAATTTAATTATGGCTTTCTTCGGAAGTTGTTTCTAAACTTCTTCTGTAATTAAATCAAAGCCAGAGGCTTTCTTAGGATAAAGTGACCATTCGTACTGATTTTACCAGTACAGTACTGTTTTCAGGGAATAAGTCCCGGTTAGTTATTGAACAAAACCAGTACACGAAAACTGGTTTTAAAACGTTAAAGTGATTAAACAAAAAAAAAAATTTATGTATTTAAATTAAAACTGGCAACCTTGCCCTACAGTTCCATGTGATATACCTAGTCGTGTGTAGGGCTCGTCCGATCTCTGGTCGGCGCCGGCGTCGTAGTAGTCCGTGGTGAGTAGTGGTTTTAGTTTTAATTCTGCAACAATTGATCGATAATCGATAACATTTGGCGTTGAACGTTGATGTATAGTCCATCTAAACAATAAGTCAACTATAAAGGAATACCGCAAACGCAAAAAAGTTCGGCGTCTGTTTGAATAATTCGAAAAAAAATTGGTGTAGGGAATGGGTTGCTTGTCGGAAGTCAGCTAAACTAACTCTTTGATAGACCGCCCATAGACGGAGATATATGTTTTTACTTGAAATTTTATTTAATAATTTAATTATATGTACGTATTATAGGTATATGTTTCTTTCGATTTGAAGATTTCAAATAGTAATTTTTTATAAACATATTATAATGAAACGCGAAATCCCAAGAATATCAAGTAATGATCAAAAGTCTTCAAAGAAATAAAATTAAAAAGTTTCATCTAAGTATTTAGACTACACCCTGTATAGTGGAAAATTTGACAAGATCAAAAGTAACTAAATGTAATGAGACAGTGTTACCACACGAAAATTATAATTTTTAAAATGTAAATTTATAAAAAAATTAGAACATGGAATTCAAAATAACCTATTAATTAATGAACAATAAATTATCATCGAAATTATGAAATAAGCCGTTTAAATAAACTCACCTTTATAAATCCAATAATCAAATTTCAATAATGTAACTAAATAGTCAAAATTTTGATTGGCTAATTCCTTTTTTTATCCAACTTGATGAAAAATTCAAATCAGAATTTGTTGATAAAACAAAAGAGTGGGTAGCAAGTAAAGAAGGAGGAAGGACATGTAAAATTGTTCCTTCTAATTCCTTTCCAAAACTCCTTTTTCCTAAAAAAATAAAGAGACAGGAAAATTAAATCTTCAATGTTTATTTATAAGTACTTAACTAGTGTATAAATGTCAAAGGTAATATTAAATTTAACTTACCCATGGAAAATCATGTAAAACTGCCCGAAGACGAGTCCCCCAGGAAGACATCCTCACCGTTGTATGCACATGCATATTACAGGAAAGGCCTTCACAGGTATTTGTAATGTCTGTTTATGGACACTGAAAAGAAATACGTTTAACACTTGGACATCTCATATTTCACAGTGAAACATAGGCATTTTAAATAAAAACTGTCATTAGTGACTAATTTAAAAACTTACTTACCATAATTGAGTATTTAAGTAATCGAAAAGACGATAAATCTTTCTATTTACATCGAAAATAACGTCATAATTTTGTAGATAGATTATAAGATGATTGCGTTATAAGCCATCTTTTGTCCGATTTGAAAAATTGCCATATAGCCGGTCAAAAGATTTCTACTTACATTAAGAAGCGCCGTGCAGTGAGTAGAACATTAAGCCACGGTAGCTAACTGTATTTTTGTCGCATAATGCGCCATTTTCGATCCAAGAATCGATCTTTAAATGACGTATTATATTATTTTCGTTCTTAAGTTTATTTTTACATTTATGTAACAATTTTTTGTTTCTTTGTCCCATATTAGCCATAAAGAATCTTTGAACTCGCACTAACCCTGATGTTAACATTTTTTAAATAAAACTACAAGTTATATACAGAGTCTCAAATTTTACTTACTTTTATTTCAATAATTCAATAGTTGACGATATACGAGGTGCAGAGGTAAGTGTCTTAAATACATAGATGAAAACTTTTAAACCCATTATCTAAAAGAATTAAGTTATATTGTTTTATCACAATCGCGCATTGCATCAGATAGTATTTCAGCCGGAGCATTAAGTATTTGGATGGATGAGGATAATTTGTAATCTAAATTACTTTTAAATAAAATAATACTTGGGTAATGTTACTCTTTATTAAAATATTCATTTCACTAGAATTTATGGCTACTAAACGTGAAGCTCATTACAGTATGGTGCCTTAATAAAAAAAAATGTATATGATTAAAATAAATTAGAATAATTAAATTAAAATTAATAAAAAAAAACACGTCATTCATTACAATATAGCTACTCAAACATAATTATAACATCATCTTCATTACAATATATATAATTAGAATAAAATAAGTAGGATTTATAACTGATGTTTTCCTTCAACGATTTCAGTGTTTTAGATAAAATTTTGCATTTTTCCTCCAAGAAGCGTGAATAGCTTTGTCGGTATACTGCCTCTATAATTATATTGTTTTTGGCGGTGTATCGCCTTTGACGGCTATTGCCTTTGTCGGCATATTGTCTTTGTCGGCATATTGTCTTTGTCCTTTTAAAGAGCCGAATTTGAATAAAAATAATTATTTTTACTTTCAGTGGAGTTTTGTTCATCTTAGTGACCTGTTGAGTTTTGTACGGTTAACAGCTCCTGCATCGTACTTTTTAAAATTTTATAGAATATTAGTTTAATTAGTGTTTAGTTTCGTTTTATCAATAATTAGTTTGTGTTTTGGAGGTTATATAGTAATTTTAATAAACGAATATTAATTTTTGTGTATGTGTTATTAACTATGTGGAGACCGTGTGATAGTATTCGAGCTCCAGTATTTTAAACAGTGATGGAGAAACTAATGCAGTGCCTGCGCAAATAAAAAATAAACTCTTTTTAAATGAACAGTCCCAGCAAATTTGTTTAAATGTTTATAAAAATTTGTTAAAACGTGGATATGTCGAAAACCCTTCTACCGTTCAAGAAGCAGCGTTTCTTACTAGTATATCGGTTTATAAAATAAACCAAATTATAAAAAAATGGAATTTCCAGAAGAAAAGTCCGTGAAGACAAAGGTGTGCAAAAAAAAGTAGATCCGCCATGGCCAAATCTATTGTGAATGCAGTGTATGATTTTTATAACCAAAATACCATTCCCACTCTTGATATTATACATAAACGCTTAAGTGAAACTTATTTCGATACAAATATAGAAAGGTCTACATTGTATAATTGGCTAAAAAAATCGGTTTTAAATACAAAACGATAGATAAAAGAAGCGCAGTGATGGAAACAAGACGAATAGTAAACTGGAGAAATTCCTATTTACAGAAAATTCGTGAATATAAAAATGAAAGCAGGCCAATTTATTTTCTGGATGAAACGTGATATAATTCGCATGATACTGCAAAAAAGGGCTGGACAAACGATAATAAATATTGCCAAACCTTAGGTATCCATCCAAATAAAGGCACTCGACTGATAATATTAAACTGTGGACTCAGAGGATGGTTGGGTTGACAATGCCTTACTATTAATTGGAGAAAAAAAATTGATAGCTGCCAGATTGATTACCATTCAAATATGAATTCCGATATTTTTGAAGAATGGTTTACGAATTAACTGTTGCCTAATTTAAAGCCAAAAAGTGTTATAGTTATGGACAATGCTTCATATCACTCCAGGCTTAAAGAAAAAATACCTACCTAATAAAAACTCTAGGAAGGATGAAATTCAAGAACTTTTAATGAATCACGATTTGTATTTTGATGAAAATTATAAAAAAGATGAACTTTTGAAAAAAAGTATATAGTTGATGAAATTGCAGCTGAAAGAGGTCATACAGTTTTAAGGTTACCACCATATTTTTGTATTTTCAATCCTATAGAGTTACTCTGGAACCAATAGAAACAAAATGTTCGGAGAAAAAATATATTTCCCCAATCTGATTCTCAGGTCGTTAACTTGATCAAAGAACAAATGGATGCGATCGGAAAATCGCAGTGGGAAGCAGTTATAAAACATGTGTATGAAATAGAAAAGAGGATTACAGGAACAACAGCGGCATACACGTAAATAATGGAGAACGATTTATCATAAATCTCAATGAGGATGACGACGACGATGATATAATTAGTGATAACGAGGAGAAGGAAGATGAGGAGCAGGAATTTCGAAACAATGAGGAAATCTGAGTTAAATCAGCAATATGTAAGTCACATTTTTATTTTATAAGTCGGTCTATGTTTAAGTTATTTTTACATTAACTTTGTAATTTTAATTTTAAAAGATTTTTTATAACTAAATTAATAAAATGTTGACA